AAAGGGGATTCGAGGGTGAAAAGGGGATTCGAGGGTGAAAAGGGGATTCGAGGGTGAAAAGGGGATTCGAGGGTGAAAAGGGGATTTGGGGGTGAAAAGAGGGAATGGAAGGTAAAAGGGATTGGTGGTTGATAATATGGGATTGGTGGGTGATAGTGGGGATTGATGGGTGAGGGAGTATGGTGGGTCTGTGGACATCCCTCTGGTACCACGGCGTCTATCTCCATTGGGCTAAAGGAAAGCCGGAGCGGTTTACCCTCCCATAAGAAGTTATCACTCCAAAAACCAATTCATAACTGTTTTCACTAAACAAAGTTTCATCAAGCAAATATCATGTCCAAAAGTTGTTTACCTACTTACATGGTAAATTTCTCTAATTGTCCGATAAATCTAACAGTTACGCTCTTCCGGGAACAGAACCTGAGACCGGGCGTCATCATGCCGCATCGGAGGCATAAATTCTTTGCAAATTCATCGTTGCGTGATCCGAAAGTCTAGTTCCACTTTCTAACACGCGTGAAAGGGCTACACTGGCGTGCACGAAAACTGATACAACGTTTATTTAATTTTGATTCTTATATAAGCTTTCACCCACACCACTTATTAAATGAAACAAGATTTTCATCACGGTTAAAATAGACCTCCGTGGCCGAGTGGTTTGTACGCCGGGTTTCAAGGTGTCGCCTACTCGAGTGGTCCCGGGTTCGAATCCGTTATCCGTTAACCCTAGTATCCCATAACACAAGCCTATAGTGCTTACTTTGGGGCTGGGCTGACTGCTGTGTGTTTAAAAAAATGCTTGTTTAATATTTTTTTACAGAATTCGACGTCTATCACTAGTCTGATTACGCACCCTGAAAAGGATGATAAACGTCGACTTCTGTAAAAAAGGATAAAACTTGTAATATTAATGTTATTATTTTTAGGGCAATTTAAATGTATTTTTTTATTGTTCAGGAAACATAGTAACATGTTAACTAGATTTGTGTTATTAAATGACGTCTCATGTCATGTTGTCACAAGATGAGTCATATTTAAACAACAATTAAGTACTTTATTATTAAGCGATATAAGCTGTTTAGTAAAATCCGTGGTGCATTTTAATTTTAGACAGTTTTTATACATTCATTCAAATTTAGAATAAAATCGTTGGAATTTTTTTCTAGCACAGACATAAAAAATCATCAAAATTTTATATAATTATCAGAATTTAATTAAAATTCTTAATCAAACAAATAGCTATATAAACTTGCGTAAACACCTCCTTATCCGCATGTGAGATAATACAAAAAACATTTGTACGACTCAACAAGGAAATATGAATTCAGATTATAAAACACCGCGTAATATTTATAATTATAAATAAAATATGTAATTAATATTTTTCGAACCAAACGATGTTACATTGTTTTTAAGCGCTGTTTTCCTTCCTGAAAAGAAACTGGTGCAAAAATAAATATTTGTGTCCTTCAGTATCATCTTGTTGCTTCACAATACAGTACATGGTTATTTTTAATTGCTGTTTTTGTATTTTTTTTATTTAAAGATTTGAGTATTTCTTTATCGCTTATCTACAATGTGGGAGTATCCATCGTCCAATTTTCTTTTGGAGGTAAATATACAATACTTTGTCTTGTGTTTTGTAATGGTTTTAGAATTTATAAATTGATGGATCATTAAAGTAGCTACCATGTTACGTAACTTTGCTGTCTTTTCGGAGTAAATACTAGTTAAAACTGACCAAGCTCGAATCTGGCCTCGCTCTGATAGGGTTCCGTACAATAACAAACCGCAGAAGAACAAATCCTTTGTTTGTTTTTGTCACAACTTACTAAGTACATTACGAGTTGACTTTTTCAGTATTTGTTGTTTAATTAAAGCATAAAGGATGACATAATTATACCAAAATTACACATTCTAATTAGTTTCAATTTTGAAATGGTAACGTAACGTAACAAAATTGTATTGTTTTGAACTTTCATGGTCACTAACATTATAGTAATATAAGTTATTTACGGGATTGTTACCATGTACCTTGTTTTTAGCGAGTTTCCGATATTTCGGCACTGTTGCAAGCGCCATGATCACGGATTAACTGAAGTAATTGCGGGTAGGCTGTTATTGGCAGACATATCCAAGGAAATCATTTATTGCGTTCAATACACGTACCACTGTTCACATTCTCACTTACAGTATCGGAACGCGACACGACTCTTTTTTCATTATATCGGGTTTTACACATACGAACCACAGGATTTCAGACACTCGCTAAAAACAAGGTACATGGTAACAATCCCGTAAATAACTTATATTACTGTAACAAAAATGATCTAAAAATTTGAGCCTTATAACAATAACTACTATGCATATTATATTAACTAATCAGAAACGTCAATAAATAAATAAAGTTTCGTGTATTAATCCGTAAAAACTAGTTTTATTTAACTAATCAGTTTAAAATAGTTATTATCCAAAAAAATAACTTTTTACTTATAGATAGGTATTTAACAACGGCCGCCAGTGTACGCTTGCGTGTCTCAAGTCGTTTCTTTGCAATCGCAGAAACGAAGGGTTTTCAATAAATACACCGACGTGCAGGTATAAAGTATACAGCGCGAGATTATCCTGAGATTAAACGATTTATACATGCCAACCGTTATTGATAAAACTTTGACATACTTCTTGTGTGTTTTGCAGAGCACGAAACTTTGCAATTTAGCAACACTGATGCGTAAAATAGAACATAAATGTTTGAATTCAAACGCGTTTATTTTGTAAGAGTTTTTTTTTTATATAATAGCTGTAAGATGACAGCAAAATACTATGTAAAATCATACTTTTTCTAATATTACTGAGGCTTAATGCTATGAAATACAGGAACTTTAATACTTACCTTGAGAAGTGAGATAGATGCATCTGATTATTTCGTAGGTTGCAAGTGAAAGGAAATACTAAAAATGATAAAGGCTTTTTAATTATGTTCCTTGACGACGACCAAATACCGTTTTTTTTTATTTAATTTGTTTCTCTACTCATGTAAGCCAAGTTTTACGATTTATGCAAAAAAATGTTTCATATTACAGTTTATTTAGTAAATATAGGTAATCATCGAGTATTCGGTTCTGTTTATCCTTACCGCTCAAATTAGTTTCCCTAAAACTAAACTTTTTTAAACTTTTGACTTGTGTTTGCCAAGGAATATCAATCACAGTTATCTTGCATTAAGTACATATAAAATATTACTGACCAATCTCAACGGTTAAGATATTCAAAACAACTATGTTAATGCCGAACACCTTCGCTACAACGAAACTAAGACCTAATACATCGCAGGGTGGGGTGATAAATAATTTTAAGTTCGTATAACTTCGCTTATCTCGCTTAGAATGCAATTTCTTTGGCGGAATTATAGGGCCGTCCGAGTTGTAACCCGAGAACCCGACACTCATATGTAGATGTATGGATGCACTATATATATATTATACTTGCGACAGATGGTTCGCTCGGCGATATCGTAATTTTGAAACAACACCGTTAAGAATGATGTATCAATGTTATATCATAAGTTAGATTTTATTGGATCGTATAGTTTGTGGACTGCTAGTAGAAAAGGTAGGGAAACCAGTACCCCTAGCACGAACCATTATCGAATTCGAATAGTTTCCAAACCGAAATGTCAATGTCAAATTTTGTATAGAAACTTGAACAGCGGCGGCACAAAGTACGTAACGAGAACTAAAAATTAGTACACATTTGACAATGACATTTCGGACTCGCAAACGATACGAATTCGATATTGGTTCGTGTTGGGGTACAGTACCCTTAGCCCGAACCAATATCGAATTCGTTACGTTTGCGGATCGTCCTCGAGTAATTTTGTATGGAAACTGGAACAGCGCCACAACGAACGTACAGATAATAAGAAATCAATAGCACCAATTTATTCATATTTGACGTGTATCGAGAACGAATTCAATATTGCATATTTGAATTCGATAATGTTTCGTACTTAAACGGGTATTGTACCTACTGTAAATTTAATGTTTTAAAAAAGAAACTATTTAAAAATCGAACACCATTTGAAATTATAAAAAATAACGCGTTCGTTATTCAAACAGGTTCGATAATTTTATGTTCGCGAAAAACTATTTTAATTTGAATTCCAAGCTAATTTATCATATCCGCCCGTTTCAAATATATATATTTACGGCGCTATTGCGCGGCAATACAGTTGAAGGTTCACAGGACGGTAACTCTTTCTTGTTTAAATCGTACTGCATTCAGTGAATGAAAATTCCACTAAGGTCTATGAACTTGAGTCTATATTTTAATGACGTTTTGATGTGATTTGATTAAGGCGATTTTTGTATTGGAATTAACACACTGTTTCATATAAATTTTACAAAAGTATAACCTGTAAAGAGATAAGTTCTTCTTTTGCCTGGTGTTTCGGACATCCTTATGTTACGGTAACTGTTTAAGTCAGGCTATAAACATTTTTTGACTTAATAACATAAAACAGTCATATAAGTATAATCTTCCGCTCATATTATATACTCTAAGGAAGGATTCCTAAGCCACCGCGCAAAAGGTATCGTAAGGCTAAAAACTTACGGAGCCGTTTTTTCCGCAATTGCCACGGGCGGTCGCAGAACTGTTTTATTTCAAAACTCACGAAACACAGTTTTTCTGCGGTTCCGCAGCCGCCGCGGCTGGGAGATTGGGAGGAACCGTCGCGTCTGCGGGAATTCGCTTTCCACGCGCGCCCGCAACGAGTTCCGCAAACACCCGCACGCTCTGCGGGCGTAAATCGCGCTGTGAAATTTGCTTTTGCATTTTGCCTACAATTTCACACTCTACGCGAGTTGTGGTCCATCGGCCGCGGCGGGCGCTGGAGAAAATCGCGCCGTGAATTCTTAGTCTAATATTAAAGACTAAACACGATCCCCAAAGATTCAGATTCCAACAATCCCTTCAATCTCCCTTACATCTTGTTCCAGATCTTCATGCACAAGAACGCAATGCAGATGCACGCGCGCGAGCTCCAGCGAGGGTTGGGGGGCGAGGTGAAGCCCCACCAGTGCCAGCAGTGCCTCAAGTCCTTCAGCTCCAACCACCAGCTAGTCCAGCACATCAGGGTCCATACGGGGGAGAAGCCGTACAAATGCTCCTACTGCGATAGGAGGTTCAAGCAGTTGAGCCATGTTCAGCAACACACGAGGCTGCATACAGGTAAGTGTTAAATAATACCTACTAGTTCCTCAAGTCCTTCAGCCCTAACCTCCAGCTAGTCCAGCACATCAAGGTCCACACGGGGTAGGAGCTGTACAAATGCTCCTACTGCGATAGGAGGTTCAAGCAGTTGAGTCATGTTTAATAACACACGAGGCTGCATATTGGTTAGTGTTCCATAAACGCCACCAGTGCCCCAAGCCATTCAACTCCAACCATCAGCTAGTCCAGTATATTAAAGTCCACATGGTAAAGAAGCCGTACAAATGTTTTTACTGCAATAGGAGGTTCAAGCAGTTGAGTCATGTTCAACAACACCCAAGGCTGCTGGTTAGTGTTGCATTTTCAAATCATTTTGCTTCGGCTATTTAGTTATTTCGTCCTATGAGCCGTTCGCTCCATGAGTCTCATCGCCCTCTACTATTCGAAGTACTTATTGAGGATTAAGACCTCTCCACCTATGCTTTAAATTAAATTTAATGTGAATACCTATATTGTATATGTGCCTACTATTTGAAGCCAATTATAATGATGTGATGTTACATAATCTTACAATTTCAATTTCTAAGCGAAATATGTCTTTAAGTGATAGATAAGAAGAGGTGTTGGTGCATTTTAGGGGATATATTAGAATTCATGTTTAAAAAACACAATTAAAATGAGGACTTAGTGACGTAAAACCAGTTAAACGTATAAGCACAATGTGTGGAATTATTGAAACAACATGATCTTGGTTGAGTCAATCGATATACTTACATAATTTGTTGGCAAACTCCAAAAATAAATTAGAATGCGATGCATCAGCGTTCAAATGAATATTGTGATTCCTGGGTGGTAAAGGTACACTTCTAGAACAAAATCCTTTTTTAATTGGTATTTTTGACAAAAGGGCAATATTTTTCACAGAATATCTTGCATTATTTTAAACAATCACTAACTTTATTATAAAACAGTATTCAATGACGTCGTGTTGAATAACCAGTCAAGACCCTCTCGAGAGTGCAATAATTAGGTGGTTTACAGTCATTTCCATACCTTAATATTAAAAAAAAGTCCTAAATTTTAATATATTTTAAAAGAAGTGCTATTATTGTATTTGATACAAGAAGTATAAAATAATACTGAATTTATATGAAAATATGAATGTTTAACATATATTTACATTAAATCAACACTCGTGTCACAATATATATTTCAATGCACGGCAATTGAATTGAACGAATCAAATGTTTAAAAGCTAATGTGATCTGCAAACTTATAATCGAACACGTTCCAAATATAAATCCACACTCCATTGAAATGCATTGCAGAATTATAATAATGCAAACTTCGTTATAAAATCAAATAGCTTCTGGACATCGAGTAAGTGTATAGAATCAATTGAGTGACTATTAAAGAAGATTACTTTGATGAAAACGTTTTTTTTGTTGATATATTGTAAATTTAACACTTATGTAAAAAATACTTAAATTTTCTAACAAAAAACTTGAAAAATAACAATAATAAAATCTTCTTTACTTTAACCTACTCACAGCCACACTCAGAGACATCAATAAATTTAATGATGACTTATCTATTACTGTTGTTATCGCTTCTCGCAAATAAAGTGACAGTTAAAACAAATCAAATTTCAAAGTTCATTAAATTCACCTAAGTTCGATATTCGATTATGATAAAAATTACTCACACCCAATTTACTACGAACATTGCAAAGAACTCAAGTCTCAATCTCACTTTTTATAGCGGCATTTACATGTGGCTTGAAATAAGAATACGAATTTGCTTAATGTTATTTGAAATTGGTATTCTAATTTCAAATATCATTCGTGAAAACTTAGTTGAGTGAGGTGATTTTAAAATCTTAATATTTCAAAAAGTTCCATCACTATTGTACTAGGTATCCCGCACGCTCTCCAAATAGGTTAGAACAAACAACTTAAGCAATTAAAAAACTACGTGCCTACGATTGGCGGTGCTTTTCTACGTAAAAAATAAACGTGAAAAGCGGGGAAAAAAAATCGGCCAATGGCCACTGGCCGCCGCCAGCTGCCGGCCAATCGGAGCACGGCGTGCAACGCAACGTATTCTACGTGGCTTAGAAAAAAATTCACGTGTTTTTCCACGGCCCAACTAGCCAATAGCAGTGGTCGTTTGTTATGCGCATTATAATTCGATCGTATGTACTCAATTTGTCGGATTTTTGTAAGACTAAGACGAGGCCGCGATGTTTTGATGGATTCTATAGTGTTAGTAGAGTTTATTTTTATCCATGAGTACACCAGTGATGCACTGGTTGGGTTTTTTATTGATAACAATGTTGCGCTATGATTAACCGGATAGATTGATTCTTCACAAATCTTAGAAAGTTGTTTGATTGGATACGAAGATGACATTATGTTTTATTAAACAACAATGAAACATACAAAACACTATAGAGTAGCTATGATTAATTTTAAATATGCTTGTATAAGAATACCAATATCTTAAACAAACACGATTTTGATATATAAATTGTAATTTCACAATTTTTGTGTAGAATAATTCATGTTTTTAAGAAAAACTTTAGTTGAAACGACAAACAAAATTGTATATTTTTTTTTAGGTTTTTTCGGCTGAAGATTAAATTCTCATTAAGCTAAAACAAATTGTCAGAAATCGTTTCTTCAAAAGTGTACAGATAGTCGAGTTGTTATTTCATTCGATTGGCTTAACCTTGCCTGCACCTGTCAGTATAAATCTGAAAACCAAACCAAACCAAACAAAATCAATGGTAGGTACAATATCATAAATTCCTTCTAATGAATAAATAAGTCATTTTCCCTACGCTAAAATTTCATAATTCTAAAGGATCAGAAAATAATCCTATTATGAAAAATTATCTGGTAGAATTGTTGATGTTCTCTTAATCTATCTAACTAAACTTAGCAACTAACGGCTACACTCACATATGACAATTAACTTTTAGGTTTTTTTAAAGATTCTACTGTCACTTTCATTTTATATTTACCAAAACAATTTATTAATACTAAACGCCTAAAGCCTTTATTTGACTCGTTCATTCTAAAAAAAAAAAGTTTATCAATATTTAAAAATAAAAATTTCACTTCCCACGCGGTCAATATTTTTTTCACACCAATCAGAAAGGCAAATCGTCAAAGTGTGTATAAGTGGCCAGTAATTAAAATATTGTACAGCATGCAGGCCACTATTGTAGACTGTCTGTGCTGTCAGTGCGTGCGTAATGAGTTTTTTTTTAATTGTCATAATTACTAGCTCGCTCGTCAAGTCCACACCACACATTGTCACGACAGCCCCTTTTTATAGTGTTCGGTTCGATGACTGACAGTAGATATTGATTTGATTTTTAAATGGAAGGATTCAAAAGCGTTCTATTTTCGAATAAGGCGAAGACAGGAAACTGTTGAAATTCTATCGTCTTTAAATTTTCTTATTTTGAAATTTGGAAGCAAGTATTACTATTGTTAAACTCAATTATATAAGCGATAATATGCGTAATGATCTTTAGAACATAATAATCATGCAGATGAGTTAATCATAATATAGTTACAGTTATCATGCTTAAAAAGATATTATTCATTCAACATAAATAATAAAAGCAAATCGTCATTACTGTGAATTGTAAAATTTTGTAATTCACACCGAATCCCTAACGCACTGACGGAAAGCAATCTTATATTACTGTTAAATGCTCTAACTTAATTAAGACTTACTTCTACATAATACGAAATAACTTATAAAAGACAATTACTAGTGATAAGTACAAATTATATGGATCACTTATCTATATTACCTACTACCTTGGTATTCGCATTAAATGGAGCTTTCATGGAAAAACTACCGGTTGTCCGACGTTAAATATTTGAATAATGCGCCCTTAATCACACACTCGCACTTTAGAAGACAGAATTAATAGCCACTTGTACATTATTCCTGTGCATTTTGTAATTCACACTCGACTGGAGGTCTTTTTGCTTGTCTGAAATGTACTAATATGCTGATTTTCGGATAAAATTGCTTTTGTTAATTACAAAAAAGCAGATATAAAAAAATATAAAGTTATTTTGTTTGTTGAAAATTGGGGTCTAATTTTTATTAAGTTTTTGAATTAAAATGGAATTGTCAACTTTAATGAAAATAAAAATCAATACAATTTTTTTTCATTGAAAGTTTTACTAATTAATTTAGATAGACAAAGCCAATAGAAACATTGAAATCGATCCGAGATTAATAACGTCTTTATAACTATAGTTCTAAAATTGAAATTCGTATTCAAACATCAAAAAAAGACTGTACCAAGTAAAATAGAAAAACCTTTAGACAGATAATGGTGTCAATTCTGGCGTCATTCTCTAAACTTAAAACTAAATTTAACATCAGTCTCTCCTTTTCCTTCTCTAAAGAGAATGACAAGGATATACGGTTGTCAAATTTAAGTTTAGATTTAGAGAATCATGCCAGAATCGACACCAATATTCCTATATTTGAATAATCTAATTAAGGCAACCTGTACTAATGTTGGCCCTCCCACAATGATTGAACCTGTAGCATTCACACTATAATATAAAGAAATTTATAAGCAAAATACTAAACAAGATCTCTTTTTATTATTCTTTGATCGCAGTTCTTCAATCTTCAGTAGAAATTTGAGTTTTACAAATGGCATTATTCTGAAAAAACTCAGTTTTAGATCACAACTGCTACGAAAAGGCAGCTTTATTAAAGTCATTGTCATGGCATAGGTGATTTTAAACACGTTGTTTTTATAACCTAATGTTTCATTTTTTCCACATAATTAATAGAATATAAGTACTGCATAGATAAATAATTATATATATATTAGTTTCACCTAAAATTGAAGAAAACATCTATGTTTTGGTTGTGCCATTCTTTGCTATAATCTCTAGTATGCCAAACACTATACATATGCAACTTTTACTAAAGGTTTTGAAATATCTTAATACATATTAATATTGAGCATT